GGTAAGCCACCCAGAGCCCCCCATTGGGGGGAGATGGGCGGGGACAAGTTTAATAAATAAATAAATAAATAAATATGAACTAAATGGTTCGACTTTGAGAAAGGAGCGGGCTAAGGTTGTACCCTGTCACCCTACTTATATGCAGAACACATCATGAGAAACGCTGGACTAGAGGAAATAGATATTGGCATTAAAATTGTTGGAAAGTACATCAGTAACTTCAGAAATGCTGACCATACGATTTGGCGCTGGAAGTGAAGAAGAGTCAAGGAATCATTTGCTGAAGATGAGAGGAGAGAGAGCAAAGACTGCTCTGCTGCTCAATATTAAAAAAAACCACACACTAAGATTTTTTAAAAACAGGCAATGCCAGTCCAGAGCAAACAGGCAGAGAAAAAGTTGAAGTAGGAACAGACTTTATCCTTCCTAAGTTCAAAAATTCACAGGAATGGTGACTATAGCCACAAAATCAAGAGATGTCTGCTATTTGGGAGTGAGATCAAGGCAATTATGTACTGTAGCCTAAGCTGCTTGCCTCCTCGGCTGCTTCTGGCTGTTTCTTAAGCCAGCTTCAGAAATGCTGCCTGGATTGCAGGGGATTGGCAACAGGGCTGGTGTTCAGTCCAGTCAACAGCCACTGCGCTTGTCCTGCTGCTTGTCCTTCTCGTCCATGAGGGGAGGGAAGACAAGCCTCGCTGTCTGGCTCTTGAGCTGACTGGTCTATCGGTGCCTGCCTTTTCCTTTTAGGGACTGTTTCCTGTCACCCCGGGCCTGTCCTTTGCTTTCCCAGATGTTTGTACACATGGAGGCCTTCACACCCACATTATCTCCTTTGACACCAGTGCAGACCTTTACTTTTTTATTTTTTTCCCCTTTCAATGCCATGATAGCTCTGATGCTCCAATAAGGACCTGGATTGTTTTTTTCTTTCTTACATTCCTCTGTAGGTCTGTGGAAACTTTGTAGCAAGGAAGAGCTTGATAAATTCAGCTTCATAAAAACAAAGTAGCAGTATTTATTTTTTTATTACTTATTTATTGTATTTATATAGCCACCCATCTCACACAAAGTGACTCTTGTCAGCATACAACAATTAAAAAGAATAAATACATAAAAACAATGACAAATAAAAAACTAAGTGTTCCTACCCTTGCAACCTAAAGATGTTAAAATAATAAAGGGAAGGGAAGGGAAGGGAAGGGAAGGGAAGGGAAGGGAAGGGAAGATTTGCAGTACTGTGGACAGAAGGTGCGAAAGCAAGGGAAGCAGGATTAACCCAGCCCGGGCAGAAACCAAAATATATCCACTGGCAGATCTGCATGAGCTTCTAGGGCTGAGGATAGTTCATTGACCTGATGGACCATCATTGGACCAACCACAAGATTAAAACACAGGAACTGCTGGATAGCAGAGACCACAGCAGCCCATCATCCCAGCATGAAATGGCTGCGTAGGCCAGAGACTGGCTGCTGGAGGGGAGCGGGGTGTCCTGAGCACTGCAGCCAATCCAAGCTGGGGTCGCTACTGCAATGGAATAAAGCACCATCAGCTTGGACTGGAAAGCAGCAGTTTTGAACCGAAGCTGGAAAACACGGGTGGAGGATGCATTTCAGTGGGGCCTGAGTGTGAAGAGGTTGACATCATCCATTCATGTATCCCTCTGACCACAACGATATGCCTTGTGAAGAGCGTGGCTTTCCCATATGGCTGTGAAAGCTGGACCATCAGAAAGACTGAGTAAAAGAAAGCCTTTGAATTGTGAAGCTGGAGAAGATTGTTGAGATTATCTCAGGCTGTTTAGAGTGGGTGATCTTGGGTGATCTTTTGGCCTTTTAAATTGTTGAATTGTTCCAGGTTTTTTTTTTTTTTTGGTGACAATGTAGTTTGTTGCTTAATTTTAATTTTTTTATTTTTGAATTCTATAAGCTGCCCAGAGTTGTAACAGATTGGGGCAGGCTATAAATTCCATTGATTAGGATAGATTCATGGGAATGAGAAGAATGGAAATAGTCAACATTTGCTGAACATCCCTGAACCAATGAAACTTCTGGTGTCTTAGAATATCTGACCCCTAAATTCTGATGGCTGTTGCAAAATCTGCCACGGGTTCCAACAGAACTTTTATTTCATTCTGCAAGGACAGAGCCATACTTAACCCTCTCTCAATTACGCAGGTCCACTCAGTCTGAAAGAGTGGGTCAGAAGCATGCCATATAAATGAGAGGAGTTAATGTGACACAGGAAAGCAATTCATTAGTGTCTTACAGGACTTAGTCCTCTGACTTTGGCTCCTTCCACTGAAGTGAATGATTACACTATCAAATCCTAATGCAATCCTTAGAGCTAGGCCAGGTTTCAGGTTCAACTGCTTTTAAGAGTTCCGGGTAAGTGCTACATTTATACTCCCATGTGCTCAGAAACACTGCACAATCATGATAATTATGTGAACTTTACTTTTCAGAAATGGCAGAGTCAACCTTTGGGAGGGCCTTAGCTCCTCTCTCAAGCGGAGAATGAGCTTTATGGCTCCCAGGGTGATTTTTCTTGTTTCTGAACAGATCCTGTAATCAGTGAGGACCCTTCTTTATATAGCAAGGTTTAGTTTTGTTAGATGGTCAGTGCTAAGACAGTTCTTCTGTGAAGAAACTTGTAGCAGTTTGATTTAAAGTTACATGGGATCTGCAGTACCAAGAAAGGTCAATGTTCTGCTTCTGCTCTTGGTCCAGTATCTTTGTTGTTTTTCCTGGACTTACTGGACCATGATTTATGTTCTTTTTTATATTTGCCCTTATGTAAATGACTGGTGATGGAGCAGAACTATGGATGGTTTCTTTTTAAGTGTTTGGACCAGTGTAGATGTGAAGGAATGTGCACCTAGCAAGGAAATTGAAAAAGAAAAGTTCAGTAAAAGTTCTTGAGATGATGGGACCCATAATAGCTGATTTGGAGGAAGAAGAAAGACTTGCTAGATTTTGAAATTTGTTTTAATAGGTGTGTGTGTTGAGAGAGAGTTGGTTTTCATTAGAAATATCTTTTAGAGAGATGAACTTTTCCAGCAAATACAGTATAGGGCTCCCACCCTCTTTTAGGATTTTTTTTTAGCCCTTATTTTTAAAAATGCCATAAAAAATCTTGCCACCAAGACTCAGTGATTTGCAGTGGATTCAGCAGCTGGATCTTGGGGAGTGAAAGAAATGCAAACTGGAGCTACCTGAAGGAGATCAAGCAGCTTGCAAACAAAGGGTGCCATGGCCTAGTCTATACAGCCTAGAGCTAAATACAGTTGTGCATAGACATACAGTATTGGCATTTGTGCATCTTAGCAGCATTGCCCTCTATTGTTTTTGGAATCAAAATGTCCCTAATTATAATAACATTTGTATTCCCACCCTGTTGGTTCCATCTGTGAAATACAACCGGCCGCTAAAGAATTCTGGAAGTTGTAGCTCTTGGGAATAGGTGGCACGCACTGCCACACTGGCCATGTTTGCTATATAGACTCTTCCTTCTAACAGAAAGGCCAACCAATTAATTGATGTTGTTTCTTCTGTAATGTCTCACATTTATTTTATTAATTAGATTTATATCCTACCTATTCTCCAGAAGCTCAAAACAGTTTATATTATCTTCATTTCATCTGCACAACAAGAATCCTACGAGTTTAGTTATTTAGTATTTATTTATTTAAATGTATTGGCCGCCCAACTCCAGTGGACTTGGGCTGTGGCCTTATTATTTGTAAATCAGTTTACAAAACAACATTCCTTATTTTGTGGGAATTTGGGGATTTGTACTGGAATATAAAAGCTGAGATTGTCAATTTATCAGACACTCAAGGGGGCACTACTGAGCCGCTTCAGATTTTTTTTCTGAATTTTTTCATATACATGCATATGATAAACTGTACAATTTTCAGCACTGAAGCATTACACTGATAATTTTCTTTTACCTTAGAAGGTGATATAAGGAAGTCCAAAATTCATTCAGTGATGTTGCTTAGTAGTTACATTATTTAAAACATTTATACCAACTAATGTATTCTTCCTAAATTGGATTCTACATGTTTAATGGTGATTTTAGTAAGAAGCTGGACTTAGGAACTCACAAATATCTCAAAGAATGTTCTCCTAAACACATGTTACATTTTGTCTGAAAAAGAAAGAGATTAGGAAGCTGTGGGTTTTCTTAAACCTTTGGAAGATGCAATATTCTGCTATATTTGAAAGTTGATTATTTTGACGGAAATGAGGATATTCTCACTGGCCTTCCATCCATCTTTACCTACATGGATGAATGATTAGTATCCTTGATATGAGAAGACAAAACTGAAAGGAATTCTGTAATCCCATGCATGGCCACACTGTAAATGTTGTTATTTCTCTCACTGGCCTTCCATCCATCTTTACCTACATGGATGAATGATTAGTATCCTTGATATGAGAAGACAAAACTGAAAGGAATTCTGTAATCCCATGCATGGCCACACTGTAAATGTTGTTATTTCTGGTTCTGAGTGCACAAGATTTGATCTGGACCCTGGAGAAAATAGTAACTTTTCTCTTTTGCCCAAGACTCCTGGCAGCCGTTAAGTCATTGCAGCAAAGGTGGGTGTCTGGCTCCACTCAGGCCATAAGTTGTTTTTTGGACGCATTCTCAATCTTGCCTCATCCCACAACTCCACCCAGTGAAGCCAACTGTTTGGAGTAGCA